CTATTGTATAATTATTATCTTCTAAATCATACATTATATTTTGATTTAATTAAATCGAAATGTTCTTTATATATCGTAGGTTTTGATTTCTTAAATTGTTTATGTCTTTATATATCTTCTGAACTAACATTTTTTCTATATTCACTTTTATGATGTAGGTAAGCTACAATGCAGAGAAGTAGGTTGAAAGAAAAATATATCAGAGATATTATATCAGAACCGTTTGCAGCACCTATAGATATTGGCTATGGACTAAATCTTTTAGAGGCAAATGAACGTACTGTCAGATCTAACTCTGTCACTTCTAACCCTTCAACTGATATTAGATCTGACAATATAGGAGGTTCAAGTTTAGATAGTACCCATCAATTGATTATGCTTTAAATTTGAATGCAGATATGATATACTCTAATTTTATAATTCGAGTATAATGATAAAAGTATTACGATTTTACAAATATATTTTATATTTGTTGCAGTTGATAACAATGGTCAACGAAAGACCAAAGGCTAAACAACTTTGAAGGAATTGTTTGCACTACCTCCTAACGAGCGTATTGTAGTGTTTGCAAACTCTGATAGGCAACCAATTGGTGAAAGGCTTAACTATTGGCTGAATTTCTAGGCATGCTAGCCCATAATAGAATGAAATTGCCTATTCATTATGAAACATGGCATAATATTCAGAAGAAGTTAAGGCCGATGTGTTAAACTTTATTGAGGTATTAGTATAATTAATTAGATATATTCAAAATTTTTATTTTACATTTTGTTTACTTATTGAAACTTTTTTTATTCTATTATTACAGTCAAGATTTGTACTTCAAATATCAACTTTATTTGTGCTTAAGTCATTGGAAAAGAAATGGAAAGATTATAAGCATAGTTTGAAGAATAAGTATTTCGATCGAAATACTACTGTAAAGGCGATGATGCAAAATCTACCTAGTAATGTGATTAGGTGGCAATATAAACAACTAGTTAAATTTTGGTTCTCAAGAAAAGGAAAGGTATTAGTTTATAACTTTGGATAATAGAATTAAATGATAAAAGTGTTTGATGGTTTCAGTTGGTAATATTTGTATTTCTATCATATACGCAATTATTTTTTATGACAGGAAAGAGAATAGATTGTGATTGGTAGCAAAAAGGAACAGAAATATAATCACACAAGTGGATCAAAAGTTTTGTAAGAAGCAAAAAAAAATCATAAGTTTATGATAATTAACTTATTCCAATGAATGAACTTTTTCTGCCGTTAAAAGATAAATATGGAAATTAACATTTATTGTTATGTTTTAATAGATTTGATTGTTTCAATACATAATATTAAACTTATCGAAAGTTTTAAACTTAGTTACACATATGATATATATGAAAAGTTACTGTTTGCGTATATTTACGCCTTTTATTATCTGGTTGTTGTTATTATTGTATTTTAACACTTATGATAGCTTCAATACTTGATATTAAGCTTGTTCGATTGATTGAACTTGGTTTCTATGCTTGATATGGGAGAAAAAGTTATCAGTTATGTCTGTTTAGGAATATTTTTGCATATAAAAGGCAAATATACAAATAACTTTTGGATGCCTTTCAACATATTGAATGGCTTCAATCCTTCATATTAAATCGAGAGAAAATAATTGAATTTGATTTCCATGATCGATATGTGTGAAATCCCAAAATGCTTTTATTTTTTACGTATATTTAAGATTATTGTGTTGTTACAGGGCCAAAATATAAATAAAAGAGATTAAAGTTATTCGAAATTTTAATACTTGATTGACAGGATTGATATGCATAAATAAGTTACGGTTGATATGTATCATATCAAATAACATATATTTTTGTATAGGAGAATGAGATGGGCAGTACAATTAGACGTGTGAAACTTTTTCGGATAACACATACAAAAAAAATGGATCTTACATGAATGTTGAAACATAAAAAATTGTGGTAATTTGTATCATCTATTTTAACATAAAGTAAAAATTAACTCTTTTTAACATATAATCAATTAATTATTAAACTTGATAGTTATATATGACAAATTCACAGGAGAAAGTAAAAGAGAAAATGGCTACTCAGATTGAAATAGCATTTGAAGGTTCTCTCAACATGCAAGAAATTAAAAATCGAATATTCATAGAAGTTGCTAGAAAAGAAAGGCATGGATGGGTCTGAGGCCTTGGATTGGGTCCAACACCATCTGCCTACTATGGATATAACTCTTCGCAATTTACACTCTCAGCAAGTCAGTCTTCGAGAGACATTTCAATATTGAAAGAAGAGTTACAAACTATGCAACAACGTTTTCAGCAAATGAAAGAAGAAAGAGAATAGAAGCATGCCAAAATTGAAAAAGAACATGCTAGAATAGAGGTAAAGCGTGCAAAATTTCAGTAGTTGCATGATCGATTTGATCATCTTATGAATTTTGTGCAACAATAATTTTTAGGAAATTATCTTGGTGCTCCATCAACTCAGGTATTATATTTAGTAAATATTAAAATTTTTAAATAAAAAATAAGCATACAATGAAGTGTTAAAAATTGTATGGTATTATTTAATAGGTTATTGAGCACGCTAGTGACCAAGGTGGAAAATTTTCTTCATTAATTGGCAGCCAGCAAAATGTATGTAGTCATCCATTTCATACATTTTAATTTTTTATTTGGTTAATGTATTTATTATATTTGAATGTTATTATACTAATTATTAAACTTTGTATTAATTAGATGTATATTTAAATGTGAATGAAATTAATATTAATTTTAGTTTTTAAATTTAAGCTCTTTACTGAAAAAAAAATTTATTATAAGAAACTAAAAAAAGAATATTTTTACATAATGGCGGCGTTTGCATTGGGCAATACCTCTAAATGAAAATTTTAGTGACGTTTGTAATATAAAATGCCACTATAAGTAGCGGTGCTATTTCCAGCAAACGTCGCTAGTTAGGTGGCATTTTTTATAGAAATGCCACTAAAGAACGTTGTTTTTCTCATAACAATGCAACTAAATTAATGGCACCCAAAAGATACAAACACCGTAAATATTGAGGCATTTTCATATTCAAACGCCTCCAAAGTAGCGGCATTTTTGTTACAAAAGCCGTCAATGCAACGGCGTTTTTCTCATAAAAACGCAATTGAACTAGCGATGACTAAAAGATACAAACGCAGGTAATATTGAGCGTTTTCATATTCAAATGCCTCTAAAGTAGCAGTGTCTCAAAGATATAAATATCTAAAATGACACGCTTCTGATATAAACGCCGCTAATATTGAGGTATTTTTTTGAAAACACTGCTATTTACCGTGACGAGTGTATAGGCGGCACTCTACGTGACGTTTTTTCACAAACGCCACAACCTTATAGTGACTTTAATAAACGCTGCTAAACGTAAAAAAAACGCAGTTAAAAACCAAAACCCATGTAGTGCTCAACTGTTTAGGTGAGACAAAGATATCCACGTGCATTTTTTTAGTCACTTAACCATGCAGGACGAGGCAGTCAGTCAAGCCCTTCCATCCTGTGGGACAACTCCCCCATCTTTTGCTTCCATCTTTGTCCCAATGTTTCATTTTTTCTAAAATAATTGTTTTCTTTTGTAATATTCCTTTGTGATCATCTTTTAGTAGGTTATTAGGATGGTGATCAGATTCATTGCATTTTTCCTTCTTTAGGGCTTAAATTTCTTTAATCATTGTACCATTGGATTATGATCATTGAACCTGTTTGTGAAAGTGTTTAGAAATTTTTTTTTTTTCATTCAATCAATGTTTATTCTTGAAAACAATTTTTGCATTACCGTTTAAGTTTTTATGAGATTGAATTTACATTTCTTTGACAATTTGAAATTTTAATTTGAAGATTTCTTCCTGTTTAATTTCTCTGTGTCCTTTTATTTCTATATGGATCATAAGCTAAATGTATAATTTTTTTTTAAAGAAGATTACCTTTCATTTTCATTTGTAACTGAAATTCCAATAATATAAAAGTAGAGCTAATATATTAATTCGTCAGTTTTCGTTTCTAATAATATAAATAAATTCCACTTCATACCATATAAGAAAAAAAGTGATTAATAAGGTCAAATTTGTTAGTACATAATGGGTTAATTTTGATTGTTGTTATTACACTTTCAATTTTATTTATTTTTGCACAAAAGTTTTCCACTTGTATTTATGAAATATTTAAATTTTATTACTTTTATTTATTAAAAAATTAACGAAATTGAAAGTGTACTAGCAAAATTTTAAAAAAAATACTAAAATATTTTAAAAATTAATTCAATATTAATCCGTGAAAAATATAATAACAAATTTTACTTTAGTTTAAAAAAGTGATTTTTACAAAATTTTATTATATCCATGCGTATTGGAATTTCTATCTTGTCTTGTTTTTATTTCACTTCCCATCAATAAATATGAAAAAAAAGGCTTATAGACAACCAAAAAAATCCATGATGTTTAATAATAAATTGTTCGCTTTTATACAAAGATAACACTAAAATTTTTTAATTAATTTTATAATATTAATGGACCATCACGTAGCTTTTATAAATTTTTGTTTTACTTTTTTATTATATTCTAAAATGTATGTATTACTTTGTTAATTCTGACAATAAAATCGTAAAATTTCACTTTCAATAAATATGATAATTTCTTGTAATTAAATCATAGCACTCAAATTTGTGAATAGAGAGCTAATAGAATTTAGTGTCTTTATGTGGGGCGTAAAAGTTCCCCACCACTCCCTCAAATTCATTAAAAAGATGACTCTTTCATATATCATTGAATTAAAATGTTTGGTTGCTAAAGTTCGACCCCACATTTTTTTCTTGCACCGAAATACAATGACTTTGCACCCACCATGCTCCCCTCCTAACCCTTTTAAGTACCCTATTCTTTTCTTTCCTGAGTGTAAATCAAGTCTCTCTTCATCACATCTCTATCCAATCCCTTTAATTTCTTCCCAAAAAAAAAAAAATCCAATGAAGAAGATCAATCTCATACTTAGGAAATGCAAGAGTTTGTCGAGACAACTCGGAAGATCATCTTCGTATAGCAGCCTAAGCTCGAAATCGGCTAGGGAAGATCATCATCTGTGGAATGATCACATGGGAGGAAGAAATGATGGTGATAATCAGCAGCATTGTGAAACAATTTACGTTGGGAGTACAAGGAAACGTTATGTGATTAGTTCAAAGTACCTTAATCATCCATTGTTGAATGCATTGATCCAGAGGTCGAAACAGAAGCATGGAGGGGAAGACATATTGGTGAGATGTGAGGTAGTTTTGTTTGATCATCTTCTATGGATGCTTGAGAATTCCGATCCTAATCTCATATTGGATTCCTTGGAAGAATTGGCTGACCTCTATGTGTTTTGAATCAGCAGCGATCAATATGTATGGCTTTTGAATATTTTGATCTTGTTTTAGATAAGAAAAGAAAAACATGATCAATTAATATTCATGTAAGGTTGCGATCATGACATGGTTGATTCCCGATGATCATTCAGTGTTCTAATGTGATAATTCAATATTTGTCAATGACTTAATTTGATGGATCGAGTGCTTACTATTGAGCATGAATTGGAGTACCCTTCTTTGTAATTCATGCGGTTTTGTCAATTTTTTTGTTGCTTTCTTTTTTTTGGGTTGAAATTCTTATTGATATTATGTATAACAAATAATGGTTGAAGGATGAATTTTTTTTAATGTATTACTAAATAAAGTTGGCAATAGTTTTTTTTAGGAAACAAGTTGATTATAATTACCATGCAACCTATTGATAGAGTGTTTTTAGGAGATACCTACAATAACAACAACAAATTAAGCCTCATATCTCATATATTTTTATGGGATACCTAAACAGTAAAATTTAATATTTTCAATTGGCTTATGTTGAGGTTAAAAATGAAAGTAGAATTTGTAGAATAGAAGAAAAACTATTTGATTATGTATAGCATGATTCATAACCCATTTATGTAATTATGTACCATCAACCTTTTTGGCAATTAATATTATCAAGGTCATTTTTTATATAAAAAATAAATTTAAAAAAAAAAGAGAGAGAAGCAATGGGTGAAGGTATTTTAGTTGTTGGTAGGTTCCTTCAAAGGTAAGCATCATGGAGCACCCCTCATTTCTCCAACAATAATCTCCTCGGTTTCTGGCATTGGACTCATTCAACAAATCCCACATGGAAATGCAACAGAAACCTGAGTCTTCCTAAAATCTAAAAGGCCTGCTTTCATAACTATTTTCATTATTTTAATTTTTTTAGGAAAAAAAGTTTATTGGATATTAAAAATAAATTCCATAAGACAAAATTATGTTTGGTTAAGATATAGTAATAAAGAAACAAAAAAAGATGGGTTTTTCTTATCTAAAAAAAATGCTAAAACTAAAAAATATCTAACAACAACCACTCTGAAGATAACTTCACAACAAATAAAATGGGCTTGATGACATCCTGATTCAGGCGGTACCCCTGCAAAGGCTAGACCTGTGGCCACTCGTTTTCCTCGGAACACCCCTCCCACTGTTCCCATTTGCAGGCAAAACTTGAGGTGGTAATTGGGTGCATTCGATCGGGTTCATATCAGTCTGTCTTCGAGTTCAAGTGTTCATGTCATTTTCGGTTGGGATAATTTTGGATTCTATTTATTTTGGTTATGAATCATCTTGGATTCAAGTTATTCCGGTTTTGAATCCTTTTGTATTTGGTCAAGTTGATTATAAACGTCTCAGTTTCAGTTTCATATCATTACAGATTTAGATTACTTAAAATCTGTATCGCTTTAGCTTTCAAATTGGTTTGAGTTTGATTTATTTTAATATAAATATCATAACATATGAATTCATAAATTTATAGTTAGATATAGATTTTAAAAGTCGTCACCAATTATTTTTACATAGATATAATTGATTATCTGATTAAATCTATCACATTTTAAAGAAATGTTCCGAGCTTGACTCGGGTATTTTTAAAAAGTAAATTCTAATCCACGAAATTAAATTTAGGTTTAGGAGTACGGTTACGTATGAAAAAAATTATAACACCCTCATAATGCCTATCGAAAAGATGATACCCAATTGATTTTGTATTATCTAAACTTTAAAATGCATTTGTAATTTTACCAATTAAATTTAATATTAGAAATTAGTCTTAAAGTTACTCTAATCGTTTGATAGTAATTTAAGATAATTTTTTCACTTCAAGAATATTCATGGAGACTCATGCCCCACTTTAAAGAGGTTTTGTCATCAGATTCATTAATACATTCTTTCAAGAAATTATTTGTAAAAAACAATCAATAAAATCCTCTAATCGTTTGGTAAAATTTTATATCGATCCATATCTCCAATCGTTTAGTGGGATTTTTACTTGAAAACCCTTTCTATGAAAATTAAAAAAAAACTATTAAATCTTTTAATAATTTGATAAGATTTATCTCAAAAATTTAAATCCTTTAATAATTTGATAGGATTAAAAATTTATTATTATTATTTTTTAAAAAACTTATTAAGTATTTTAATAGTTTGATAGTACTTAATTCAATATTTGAATCTTCCAATCGTTTAGTATGATTAAAAATAATTTATTATTTATTTTAAAAAAATTTATTATGAAAATTTTCAATGTTTGGTAGAATTTATAATTTAAAATTGAAAAAAAAAATTTAATCCATGAAAATCTTTCAATTGTTTGGTTAGATTCATATATTTATTTGGAAAAAAAAATATTTTCGTTCTTTTAGAAATATCAATTAAAACAAATAAAATATACATAACTAGAATAAATAGATTGATAAATAAATAAATTGAAAAAAAAAAACAATCAAAACCAATTATAAAATAGAAGTTAAATAAATAAAATTAAATTAACAAAACAATACAAAAAAAAGACGACTCGACTTAGGGTTGAAAAGGTGATTAGGCTTCAGGGATAAACAACGGCTAGAGCAGCATAAATATCAACTTGGCTTGACTCAATAGTGGCTAATGGGAACCAGGTTGCCAAGTCAAGCACACAACGGGTCGAGTCGAATCCTAGTAAAATACACAGACCTAGAGTGTTAATTAACTTCAAAACGATGCTATTTCAGTTGGATATAAATTCCCAAATTTTGTTTTTTTTGCTCAAAACCCTCTGCACTTTCTCTTTCTATTTTTTTTATTTATTTTCTCTCTCTAGCCTATAAGAACATTGGTTGAATCTTCATCGATTTCTGAAAAAAGCAAACCAAAATCTAGAAAATCATGCCAAAATGTCATCAAAAAATTCATATACCATAGGAAAATTCATTGGAATTTGGAAATTTCTAGGAAAAAAACTTTCTAAAAATTTATAAAATATGCTTAAAACACCAAATCAGCCTTCTGGGTTCCTGGAATCCTTCCAAAACACTAATTAAACCATATCAAACTTCAAACTTTAAAACTCCAAAAATTCATTTTGCCATAAACTTCTTCTCTACTTCTACTCGATTTTTTTTGTGTTTTTTATATTGCTCTGTGGCTATTGTGTTTACTATCTATGATTACCCTATGCTTGTTTTTTTATTACTCTTGTGTGGTGAATCAAAGCCTATTTATAGGACACTGCTGAGGCTTGATCAATATTTTGATAAAGACTGGACTCTTGAAAAATCTATCTTATCACCAAAAGAGAAATGGGATATTATCCACAAAAGACTTTCATTCAATTTCAAATTTAAGGATATGAATTATCACTGAAGCAAAAAAACTCCATTTCCACCCAGCCATTGCTCTGTGATTTATGACCATTCATTCTTTTTTTTCAATTATCTTTCTCTTTTTTTTTAAATAACCTAATAAATTTTAAAAAATTAGATAAATATAAAGAAATTAAATAAATACAATTAAAAATAAACAACAACTAGGTAAGATAAAATAAGTAACAAAATAAAATAAAGAAGATACATTAAAAAATATATAGATAAACAAAGTAAAATTACAATATTGACAACTAAGCTTGGATCAAACTTGAACCCGATTGATTCGGGCCATTGGGCTAAAAATTAAATCGGGTTCAGATGATTTAAACCATATACTAAATGGAGTGTCTACAGTTACCTCTCTTTATGTATTTTTTATTTAACAAAAATTATACAAAGGCATAGATATCCATTACATTTGAGTTTGAAGATAAAATTATTTAGACCTAGCTCAAGGCCAAAATGAAATGACTTGGTCTTAATTGAAGTTAGAAAATGGTATGACTTAGACTTAGCCAAAGTCAAAAAATGAAAATGACTTGGTCTTAGCGGAAGTCAAAAAATAAAATGACTTAATTTGGACTAAGCCAAAAATTGAATGATGAAGGTGATTGGACTAAACCAAAGTTAAAGATAAAAGTTAATAGTCTATACGAGGTACAAAAATGAAAGTGATCAGATTAAGCTAAGTTCAAAAATGAAAGTGGTCGAATTGAGCTAGGGTCAAAAATAAAAATAATCGAACTGAACCAAGGTTGAAAATAAAGATGACTGGACTAAGTCAAGGTAAAAAATGAAAGTGATCAAACTGAGTAAGGGTCAAAAATAAAAATAACTAGACTAAACCAAGGTCGAACATAAAGATAACCGAATTGAGCCAAAGTAAAAAATGAAAGTGACCAAATTGAGCTAGAGTCAAAAACAAAAATGATCAGACTGAACCAAGGTCATAAATGAAAATGACCATACTTAACCAAGGTTAAAAATGAAAGTGACCGAAGTAAACTAGGCTCGAAAATAAAAATGATCAGACTAAACCAAGATAAAAAAAATAACTAGGTCTAAGCTTAAGTCAAAAATGAAAATAATGACTTGGTCTAAGCCAATTAGTTGAAATAAAGGCGATGATTTAGTTTGAGCCTATAAGTCGAATATGTTGACTTGGTCTAAGCCTATAAGTCGAAGTGAATGTGATCGAACTAAGCTAAGGTAAAAAAATGATGACTTTGTCCGAGCCTAAATAAAAAATGAAGATAGTGACTTGGTCTGAGCTTATAAGTCAAAGTGAAGATGATCGGATTGAGCCAAGATCGAAGATAGAGGTGATCAGACTAAACCAAGGTCGAAAATAAAGGTAACCAGACTGAACCAAAGTTATAAAGAAAGATAATCGGATTAAGCCAAGGTCGAAAATGAAAGTGACCAAATTGAGTTACGGTTAAAAATGACTAAGTCTGAGCCTAAATAAAAAATAAGATCAAATGTTTTAAAAATAACAATCGTAAGTTTTAAAAATCATGTTCAAAAGTCTTATAGATCGTATTCAAAGGGTTTTGAGATTATGCCTAAAGAACTTACAAATCTTATTCACCTTTTAAGATAGAAGAATGTTTCTTGAAACTTTTCAACCAAGTTTTATCATTT